AGTATCGTGTGAGAAAGAATGAAGTTAATATTGTTCAGATAGTTGATGATCATTATCAGAGATATTTAAATCAAAGGGAACAATTTGGTATTGACACTGACAGTGACTCCTCCACTGATTAGAAATAGGCTACGCCAATAGTGAATATGGACTTATATAATTGTTTAATGAAATTTGATTGGGTACAACTTATCTGATATTAAATGTATGCATCAAATCTGATCAACTACATGTATTTATTATTATAGTAGATATAATTATAATATTTATTATAATACTAATCATGTGGTTATTATTCATTATTATTATTGCTAGTTATTAATCACTATTATTATTACTGTTATTTTTAAGCATAGAGTAGGTTTTTGCCCAGTTTTAACCACAAGTGAGGTATATTTAATATCCTAGCGTTTGTGGCTTTTCTGCAAAAAGTTATGTACATGTACACAGAAATAAAAATAGTGCATGACCTTCTGCATTGTAAAATGCATCGGGCCTTATCAAAACAAATCACTGGTCACTCATTCACACTGTAGTGCTGTGTATATAAACGCATCACAACTGGCAGCTATGAGCAGTTGAGATAGAGCATGTCCCATTCTTATGTATATTACCAGGTGATTAAACATGTCATTCCTGGTATACTGCTGGTTTAGTCTCATCAATAGCAGTGTGTATTGTAGGCCTTATGTATGGGAGACCACAAGGCCATGAGTTGGTTCGGAAAGTATTCCCTTATGTAAGGAAGAAGAAAGACACACTTACTCAAGATGAAGCTACTCAACCTACTGCAGCTACTCAGGTGTTTGATTATGATCTCTCAAATTGGGAAGTTGGTATCCTTTTTATGATTGTATTATTAATTGTTTTTCTTGTTACGTTGATATTTTGTGCTTCTTTTACTAAAGCTTCCTACAAGTATGACCCTTATGATAGCTTTGATTGCTTCTTCACTAGTAATGACACACTGGTTGAGACTAGATGAGGATAAAATGGTGTGCTTCTAGTTTCATCTTAATATTGCTGAAGCGATGGGCCAAGCTGCTGGTACACTGGCATTTTTGTGGATACTTTCATCCATTATGCATAACTACGATTCGACATCAAAGTCTTAGAGAAAAACCAGAAGGCGAGAATGACAAATTAATTAAGACAATATAACAAAAATATGTTTTGATTTTTTTCTGTAAAAATGAAAATGTAGTACTGTGTCCATGTTCACAATGTCTAATATTAGTTTCACTTAGTTATTTTACTGATATTATGTAGCTAATAACTTACATATTGTCTATTCCTTTAAAGTTGCTAACTTAATCATTATCAAAAAAGTATATGGTAAAAATGAAGCAAAAGCATGGAGCATGTGCATGTACATGTATGTACCATGTACTGATATACAAGTACATGTACAAGATGCTATGTATTCATTATATCATTTTCCTGTGAATTGTGACAGCTGTTACATACTATTTGTCAGCAGTGTTTGTGACACTACTGTCACATCAGGAGATACACACAACATGTACATAATCCAACAAGTGAATCAATATATACATGTAGCATCAAATGAGAATATTCAAGAGAAAAAGTGGGGAGAGAAAGGTGATAGACAAAATGAGGAGCAGCAACCAACAGCCAGAGAAAGATAATGACGTCACCGTTGACCAAACCATCCTGCTAGAGGATATTAACTACGTTTAACCATTAAGCTTAAACTTCAAGAAATGTACTATGTTAGCAAGTTCATCATACTTTTTATGGTTGATACTAACTTACTACCTATGTATTGTAGCATCATAAATACTGGCTTTATACTTTTTACAGCAGTATTCTGGACATTAAAGTTTTATATATAGGCAAAGCCCATACATAGGTAAGTAGTTCTATTTGCTTTTACATGTAAATCAGGAATTTATACAGGAAGGGAAAATACAATTTCCCAAATAAAATTGCCATAATTGAATGCTGTTCATTACAAAAAGAAAACGTCCATAGCTCATGCCTGCACAGGTAAAATTGACTTTTGCTTGAGTAAAGAAATATTACAAAATAAAAATACATGTGTGCAATGCTATTATTGTTAATTTTTGTCATGTCCGATCCAGCAAACTAAACACAAAGTCTTTGCTGCAATAATAATCAATGTGTGAATTTTATAACTTAACTAATGCAGGTAGACTACATCCCATTTTGATTAGTGTTAAATATGTTTTCCTTAGAGAGTCATATCCCAAAATGATAGGGACAATTCATTTCATTCAATCACTTCATGTAATACAAAAACAACTGTATGATTTCAAAAACTTTTATTGTCATTCACTGGAGGAGTCACTGTCAATGCTACTCATAAATTGCTCCCTTTGATTTATATATCTCTGATAATGATCATCAACTATCTGAACAATATTAACTTCATTCTCTCTCACACGATACTTGTAACGTTTAGCCAGTATCACAAACACTATCAGTATGATAAGAACTAGTACACTCTTTGTTATATAATAATAGAAACTAGTACATATGTATTGACTCTCACAATCAAATGGAAACTTCAAAATAGTATCAAGGAAGAGACCAAATCCCCAACAAACAGCATACCACAATCCAACCATCACTCCTCTCATGTGTACTGGAGACTGAGCTACTGTAAACTCCAGTGATACTGGATACAATAATATAAAAGTAAAAGATCGCATAGTTTCTGGAATGATAAGATAACTGTTTATAACAGGATGAGACCTCTCAATGACAAATATGATCACTTTAGAAACTGTTACAATGAAAGCAAGGAAGATACCAACACTCATTCTAGTCAGCATACTCGGAATATACTTGTAGAAACAAACTCTGATAAAGAATAAATAAACTAACATTAGAATGACTGAGCAGAAATTAAATGGAGAGTCTGTTACTGCTAAGCAAGTTAGTAATGTAAAACTCTTATCAGCAGACCAATAATTGTCATTACTGAGATTAACTGTAACAAACCCAATGAATAAAGGTAGCATACGAAATATTGTCTTCACATCTTCTACCTCTTCCTCTGTGAATGGTCCACCATATTTATCCTTACCCAGGTCTAGTCTTGAAGGAGCCTCTTCCTCCCAGTAGGTCAGAGCACTACGATTCTGAGGATACTTGTGCTTCCTGGCATAACACAATACTCTAACTATCAGTTTGATGGGATTCTTGATCAGTGATATGTTCTCCAGTTTGTGTTTGAGGAATGAATGAGACACCAGTACAAAAGATACAGATACACCTGATGCCATGAAAGTGATCATCATAAAGTACTTACTTTTATAAAATAAGCATTGAAGAAGGTAAAAAAGGAAATGCAAAAGTGGTCCAGATAGTATATGCCAGTATATGACAGAACTCAGTTCATCAGCTGAAGCTCCAACAAGTTGATCAATGTTATACTGAATAATGTTAGCATTGAAACTAAAAAAACCACAAAAATGTATGACAAAAACAAAACTGTAAAAACTCCATAGCACTGATTTAGAGTCCAAGTAATTTTCAACAACAAATCCAATTCCCATTATTATCCATGATATAAAACACAATACTATACCAATCAGTATAGCTTTGTATCTTCCAATCCATACATCAGCTAACAGACCAAATAAAGGAAAGAAGAAATAACCAAAGAAAACCATAATGACAAAGCCATACTTATACCAAGTGGCAGGAGCAAATTCAGTAGCAAAGCCACCAGTGAAACGACTCAAGCATACATAATATAAATTTAAGAGGCAGTTCCATATTAGAACCAAGACTGCTGAAGGAACAATATGAAGGAATGGTTGCCACTTTCTAGCTAGCTTCTTAGCAAAACAGGCCACCATGATTATTCCTATTATAGTAATATGCATGCAATGCAAAGTTCAATATGTTCATCTTAAGGAAACATGGAAAGAACAACATAATTTCACTTTCATTATAAACAAGTCCCAAGAACATGCAATTCATGATCTACTGCTAATTGATGTCACTACTAAATCATTCCCAATTGACAGGCATGAGCATCACATGTTGATTCTAGTCTTGGTACTCAAGATACAATGGCTTTATCAATCAGTACAGTAAACAGTTACTAAAAATCATTTCAGCAGGTGCACTGGATTTAATAAGGACTTAACAACAGCTTTAGACCAGCATGCACGTCAATCATGTGTAAAAATAAGAGACAAAGAAACAGAAATCCTTGGAGCAGAAGTGTTGCTGGCCCTCGTACTTCAATGGCAGGCTAAATTATCCACATACAACAGATGGCACACTGTACCATCTTCCTTCAGTCCTAGGCCTAAAAGTAGAATGTGATTTATTAGGACTACTTTGAATGATGCAACGACACTTAGATAAAAAGTACATGTACATGTAGGGGTCTGCCAGTTTGGCATTGGAGCTTTGTGGTTCTGTCTATGGTGGTCAGGGGTGGTCAGGGGCAACCACCTTAACAAATGAACAACCAGATGTAGACCAACCATACAATTAATATTAATAACCAATTAGCCATACATCATGATATTCTACAGCATGTACAAAAAATTGCAGTCTCCAAACACCTCTTATTTCTTCTAAGGAGAACCATGGGTGTACTGGGTTTATAGGACAGGCACAGGAAATACTCCAAATACATGTAAATCACTAAAATCATCAGTCATCACTATCATTATGTGTACATACTCTCAATCAACATCTATGACGCCATGCACTTACATGTTTCAGTCACAGCAGTGACTGAAAGAAATGGCAAAGAGAAGAACTGAAAAACAGTACTAGCTTATATACATGTACAATATACATGTAAATGTAGATGTACAATGTACATAGAAGCGCATGCATTTGCTCTGATAATGAGGCGCAGCACTTGCATCTATGATAATTGACAACCATGGTAAAGACCTGTCTAATATACAATGTACAGGTACATGTACATGTAGGGCCATGTCTGGTAGGTACTGTACAGAAGTATACATGTATTCATACTTAAATTATAGTAAATAAGTGTTTACCTCAATGATAGTCTCTTTTTTTGGTGCTAAACTCTTCTCAACGTCTTCCTTGGGTTTTCTAAGAACCTAGAACAGGAAATGTACATAAAATAATGATCCAATATCTAACAATTCATTAATAGTTTAGCATGCTATGTAAACATCACATAAGGACTCATCTATAGAGTAAGTTGTTTCAAAAAGAGAGATTATATGGAAAGAAAGCTAAAGAATAAGATTTTTGAAGAGTAGGAATTTGCATTAAAGTTGTGTGTACTAATTTGATGTACTGTACATGTACATGTATTTCAGACTCTATAAATTTAGCAAGTATATGTACATGTATTAAGGATTATATGTACATGCACATGTTTAGTAATTTTAAAATCACTTGCTAGACTCAGTAAAATTAGGATATACAATTAAAAGTGTGTGTATTCCTTACAGTTTGTAATTCTTCAACTTGTTCTTCAGTTTTAAGATCCCCAAACTGCTGGAGGAATAACTGTAAAGAGGGGAACTGTGACGGCTCCAAGAAATTCAACAAACGAAACAATTCATCCACACTGTTCTGAAGAGGAGTACCAGTCAGTAGCACCCTGTGCTCCTAGAACAGCACAAAGGCACATTAGGAATGTACAGAGTATTAATGCAAATATAAGTGTATGTATGTGCATGTGTACTTTTGAGCAACTTTAAAATTTCATAATTTAATCAGATTCCTCTCAAACTTACTATACAACATAAGTACATGTATATGTATATGCATCAGGAAAAGTTATTGAAATGGAGAATTCCCTCCTTTTTATTTTTAGCAAAAATTTGGCCCAATTCACTGTACTATAGTACACGATAACATTATTTTTAAAAGTTAACTTTTATTATTAAAAGTTTATTTCAAAATTTGTACAGAAAGTCATTGAATATTGCAATAGTGTCAAAAAATTCCATTACTTCACAAAATTTCAACACTTTTAGAAAGAAAACAGCAAATAAGTGTCATATATTGGCATACCTATTATGCAATTGTTCAAATTTGTACACCCAAAAGTGTACAAATTTGTACACTCTACATTAGAGTGCACAAATTTGTACACTTCTAAAGTGTGCAAATTTGTACAGTCAAATAATAAGTGTTCAAATTTGTACACTTTATTAAATTTTGGGTAACAGAGTGTACAAATTTGTACAAAATTATATTACATAATTTATGGCTATTTTTGAACTTATGTAAGATTTGCTCACAAGTATAGCAATTCATGAATTGAAAGTGTCAAATTTTTATTAATTTTTGCCATTTTTTAGACGGCTTTAGGTGATAAAAGTTAAGATATAAAAATAATGTGTTACAGGGACTTTGACCCAATTTCGGGGCAACTTTCAAAATTTGCAAAAAATTTAATTTTGCTTGAAATCCACTCAAACTTTCTACACAACATAAGAACATGTATATGCATTAGAAAAAAATTATAAAAATGAAGAATTCTCTCCTTTTTATTTTTGGCGAAATTTGGCCAAAATCACTGTACTATAGTACAGGAACTTTGACCCAATTTCAGAGCAACTTTCAAAATTCGTAAAAAAATCTAAATTTGATCGAAATCCACTCAAACTTTCTACGCAACATAAGAACATGTATGTGCATTAGAAAACATTATTAAATCGAAAATTTTTTTATTTTTGGCAAAATTTTGCCAAAATCACTGTACTATAGTACAGGAACTTTGACCTGATTTCTGAGCAACTTTCAAAATTTGTAAAAAATCTAAATTTGATCGAAATCCACTCAAACTTTCTACGCAACATAAAAACATGTATGTGCATTAGGAAACATTATTAAATCAAAATTTTTTTTTTTGGCAAAATTTTGCCAAAATCACTGTACTATAGTACAGGGACTTTGACCCGATTTCGGAGCAACTTTCAAAATTTGTAAAAAAATCTAATTTTGATCGAAATCCACTCAAACTTTCTACGCAACATAAGAACATGTATGTGCATTAGAAAACATTAAATCGAAAATTTTTTTTATTTTTGGCAAAATTTTGCCAAAATCACTGTACTATAGTATAGGGACTTTGACTCAATTTTGGAGCAACTTTCAAAATTCGTAAAAAATCCAATTTTAATCGAAATCCACTCAAACTTTCTACACAACATAATAACGTGTATATGCAACAGGAAAATTATGGGACATGAAGAATTCTCTTCTTTTCATTTTTAGAAAAATATTGTTTAGCAACTTTAAAAATTCATAAAAAATCTAATTTTGACTGGAATCAACTTTAAAAAATATATTATAGAAATGTACAACGTACCGTATTTCCTTAAACAAAAGCCCAAGCGTCTATTATCTAAAATGGTATTTGGACCTCGGAAAAAGTATAAAAAAACTTTGACCCAGACTGAGACTGGAACCACTGACCTCATGCATTTGACTTCAGGAACATAAGGTAGTATCTACAAGACTACTGAGAAGCTTACGGGCTAGATTTGCGTATTTATAGTTCGCTACCCCGGCGTTTATTCGCATCCAGCTTCTATTTAAGGATATACAGTACATGTACAAGTACTACATACATGTACTTACCATGTGTAGTTCTCTGAGTCCTTCCAACATTTTGCAGTTTTTATTTTTGAGTCTGTGAGCCTCATCAATGATCACTGCTCTCCATAGGATGTTCTTTAGCTCACTGTTATCAGCTAAAACAGATTACAATAATACATATTACATGTACATGTACAGTATATGCTAATATTGGATACAGCTAGTACATGCACAGTCAACTTAAAAATTTTGAAATAAATTTTTTAGAGGAGAAAATTAAAGTTTCTAATTTTCTTAAATTTTATTTTTAAATTTATATTTTTATTTTTAAATTTATTTTTAATTCTTAATTTTAAAACATGTACATGTATAATATTATTATACAAGTAAAATTAGTATAAGTAAAGGTGTGGTTGTTAATTAAATGTGGGTGTGGCTTACAAAGCAAAACTTCATAAGTAGTGACGATGACGTTAAACTTGTATGCATCAATAATGATCTTTCCTGATTGATCACGAAAATACAGTTTATACTCTTGAATCATCCTACGACTGTAAGGACTAGAAGAGGAAAGAATCATAAAAAGAAATGAAGAAAAACAAAAATAATTAAAGAGAATACAATATGAAAATGGAGAAGGAAAATGACGTATTTGCATTTTTTCCAACGTATTTGTTGGAAAAAAGTAAGGAAACAAGGGGGTACTTGCAAACTGGTATG